AGGTTGGCCCCTTGCCACCCAGGGACCCTCAAGGCATGTCACCCAGATGGTCTAATGGTATCCATGTCACGTGTGATCTTTTCAAACAAGTCCAACTGAAAAGGCATCATCAGGAACATAATGTTTTCTGGGACCAGACCAGCCAATGGCGTAATGGCTAAGACACCGGGCTCCCCTGTAGTCGGCCACAGGTCAAGGATTGCTGCATGGCCATCCCCCCAGGGCCTGCTCTCTCGCTTTCTGTCTCTCTGTCTTTCTGGCGAGCACATGCAGCCTCTAGCAAAAACCTCTCCCATAAGAAAGGAAGGAAAAAAAAGATGAAAAAAAGAGGCTCCATCGTCTCCAAGCTGCAGGCCTCCATGCTGTGCGAGGCTGGTCTAACCCATCTTACTACTAGGAGGAAAGTCAGAGCTGCTTCAATAAACAGGCCTGTTTATTCCTGTTGATAATTTAAGAGCCTCCCCCTTCCTTTTTTTTAGAATTATTTATTTTATTTATTCATGCTTTCATTTTTAATTTGACCAGAGAGAGGCACAGAGAGAGACAGAGGGGACATGAGAAAGCAAGCCACCAGATCTGAGACTCAAACCGTGGTCAGCCATGTGGGAGTGAGCAGCGCCTTAACCACCACGCCACCTGCTGGCCCCGTGCATCTCCCTTCTTATCACAGCCCATTCAGGGAGAGATTCTGGATTACAGGAATGCGGTCATTGTGGCCAAGTCTTCAGCCTCTGCCAAGAGCACACAGTCTTTTGCGGAGCGCCTGCACCCGGGCATTGTGGTAATTCATGGAGAAGCGCAGGTGGATGGACGGCATTCCCCACCCATGGTCAGGAGTGTCGCTGCCACCCACCCCAGCCTGGAGATCTCCGAGCTGACTCCTAAAGAAAAGCCCCTGATTGGGACCAGCAGTTGGTGTAATGGCTGTGTCGCTGGACTCCCATGTTGTCGACCGTGGTTTGAGTCCCAGACCCAGTGGCTTAAACTCACGCAAAGCACGTGTGCGTGCGTGCCCAAGACCCCGAGAGAATGGAGGAGAAGGGATTGCGGCATGGCCATTCCCCCTGGTGGGTGATTTCTTGCTTTCTATCTCTCTGTCTTTCTGGCAAGCGCACGCCCCCTACAGCAAAAACCTCTAAAAAAATTTTTTTTAAAAGCTCAGCAAAAAGCCAAGAGGCTATTTCTCAGCTCCATGCCACTGTCCACCTGATTGCATTTGTCACGCAGGAAGTGCATGGTGCCAACTAGAAAATTCAGGATGCTCAGGACAAGCTCTACCTCTCATGGTCTGGCCTTGAAACCGTGCAGTGAGCCATGTGGGATCCAGTGCCTTACCCGCCATGCCACCAACTGGCTCTAAACATTTGTGTATATATAGGGGATGTGCACGTGTCAAAGAGACAAAGAGGGCAAGTGAGAACGCACCCCCCAGGGGGCGTGGCCATGCTGCAATTCCTTCTCTCGCCCCTAGTTTTAACTTTTGTTTTGGAGGGCCAGCAGCTGGCATGGAGGTTAAGGCACTGGATCTCACATGGCCAATTTCTTGGTTCAAGTCCAGGACCCCGCAGCTTGAAAATCATGCCAGGCGTGTGTACCTGTGTGCCCAAAATCCAGAAAGGAGAATGGAGAAGAAAGGATTATGGTGAGGCCATACCCCCTGGTGGGATGACTTCTCACTCTCCCTCTCCCTGTCTCCAGTGAGTGCACAAGCCCTACAACAAAACAGAGCAAAACGAAACACTAAAAACAAAACAAAACAAAATATTTTTTAAACGGAGAGGACCCCATGACCACCACCCACACCCACATTGGACACATTGGACCTTAACAATTACAGCAACTGTCCCCGGCTCAGCAGCCATGATGGCTGTTCTGGTTCTTTATTAGGTAAAGAAAACGGTTGTTTTCCATGGTCTCCCCTGAAGGAGGCTCAGAGGGTGGAGCCAGCCCGGCCCTGCAGGATGGGCATCCTCCGGGTCACTTGTACTTCTGCAGAAACTCGCAGATCCTCTCTTTGACCATTGGATCCAGCGTCGAACAATCCCAATCTGCCAACTTCACCAGCCGGTCGTGGGCCTCCCAGAACAGGCCAGAGCCGATGGCCAGCTCGACCCGCATGCGCCACTCAGCCAGCCTGGAGCTGAGGAGGAAGACATTATGCTTGCTCGCCATGGGCTGTGGACAGACCAAGAGAAAGGTGTGGTCACCTGGGGACCAGCCCCATGGGGGCTCCTCCTACAGCCTCAGATGCCCTTCCCATCTGCCTCTGCAAATCTGCTCTGTGGATCCCCTTGGGGCCGGCAGGTAGTGGTGTGGTTCAGGACGCTGGATTCCCACATGACCAACTGTGGTTTGAGTCCCGGACCTGGCAGCTTGCTTTCAACCTCTCTCTTTCTCTCTCTCACTCTGTCCCTCACTGGGCAAATTAAAATAAATAAAATAAATAAATAAATAAAAATGAGTTAAATAAAATAACTCTTTAAAAAAAGATCCCCGGCTCCGGGACACAGGGTCTCAGGCTATGAAATGGATGTGGGATAGGAAAGGAAGGTCTCTAATTCCCCAGGGTGGTTATTGTTCTTCCTCTCATTCTTTCTTTTTCTTTCTTTCTTTCCTTCTCTCTTTCTTTCTTTCTTTCTTCTTTCTTTCTTCTTTCTTTCTTCTTTCTTTCTTCTTTCTTTCTTCTTTCTTTCTTCTTTCTTTCTTCTTTCTTTCTTCTTTCTTTCTTCTTTCTTTCTTCTTTCTTTCTTCTTTCTTTCTTCTTTCTTTCTTCTTTCTTTCTTCTTTCTTTCTTCTTTCTTTCTTCTTTCTTTCTTCTTTCTTTCTTCTTTCTTTCTTCTTTCTTTCTTCTTTCTTTCTTCTTTCTTTCTTCTTTCTTTCTTCTTTCTTTCTTCTTTCTTTCTTCTTTCTTTCTTCTTTCTTTCTTCTTTCTTTCTTCTTTCTTTCTTCTTTCTTTCTTCTTTCTTTCTTCTTTCTTTCTTCTTTCTTTCTTCTTTCTTTCTTCTTTCTTTCTTTCTTTCTCTTTCTTCTTTCTTTTTTTTTAAAAGATTTCTGCCGTAGGTGCATGTACTTGCTGGGAGAAAGACAGAGGGAAAGTGAGAAATCACTCCGCAGGGGGACAGCCGTCCTGCAGTCCCTTCTCTGTTCTCCTCTTGGGATTTTGGGCACATATGCACAGGCGTCTGGTGTGATTTTCAAGCCTCCGGGTCCAGGACCAGAACCGCAGTTGGCCATGTGGGCGTTTAGCACCTCAACCACTACGCCAAGTGCTGCCCTCCTCCCACCCAGGGTTCTTGCTCCAAGGCTCCCAAGCCCCTCTCTGAGGTGGTTCCAAACCCAGGTGGTTTTATTTTGCTAGCCAAAACCGTCCAGAGGCCCTGCCTTCTTCCAAAGAACCCCTTGTCCCCTGGTGCATGGTGAGAGAAGCCCATTCCCCCCTCCAATTGAACCCACACTGAACCCCCATTATGAGCAAGCGCAGGAGCTGGGAGCCCCAGCAGGCAGGCTGCTCAGCGATCTGGCTGGCTCAGTAAGATACACACCTGACATGTTCAGAAGGCCCAAGACGGGGTGGAGGTGGGTGAAATGTTTGGGGTGTGTGCTCTTGGGACAGGCTAGAATATTCTTTTCTGCTGAGGGTCTACACTGCACACTGCGACCAAAATGGCCACTTGGCATACCACCAGAGACTAGACTGGCCTCTTACCCGCTGACCAGGGTCCACATGGACTGTCTGGTGCACCAGCTAGGTCAGCACTGGCCCCCTCTTCTGTAAGTGGAGGCCATGTGCTCTAGTTAGAATGCGTCCCCGCAGCGTTCATGTGCTGAAACTTGGTTGTATTTCGAGGTATTAAGAGGAACTTGAAGGGACCAGCAGTTAGTGTAATGGCTATGTCACTGGACTCCCATGCAGTCGAATGCGGTCCATGTCCCGGACCCAGTGGCTTAAATTCACGCCGGATGTATGTGTGTGTGTGCCCAGGATGGGATGAGGGGAATGGAGGAGAAGGGGTTGCGGCCTGGCCATCCCCCCTGGAGGGTGATTTCTCACTTTCTGTCTCTTTGACTCTCTCGTCTGTCTGGCGAGTGTACGCGCCCTATGTCAAAAACCTCTCCAAAAAAAGAGAGGAACTTAAGGGCCGCCAAATGCCGTAGAGGTTATGTCACTGGACTCCCACATGCCTGACCACGGTTGGAACCCTGAGCCCAGTGTCTTGAAACTCATGCTGGGGAACCAGCAGGTGGCTTGGAAGCTAAGGTGCTGGACTCCCACATGGCTGACCACAGTTCAAGTTCCAGACCTGGTAGCTTATTTTCTGTCTCTTTGGTCAAATGGAAGAATAATAATAAATAAATAAAATTAAATAAATCATTATTTAAAAAGAAAAGAAAAAGAAACTCATGTCGTGCATGTGTGCATGTGTGCCCAAGATCCAAAAGGAGGATGGAAGAGATGGGACTGCAGCGTGGCCACCCCTCCTGGGGGCATGACTTCTCACTTTCTCTCTCACTGTCTCTGTCTCTCTCTCCATGAATGCACACGCCCTCAGGAAAAAAATCCCTACCAAAAAAAAAAAAAAAGAGGCACTTTAACCCAGTTATGGTGTTAAGAGGTTGGGCTGGGACCAGCAGTTGATGTAATGGCTATATCGCTGAACTCCCAGGTAGTCAAATACAGTTCAAGTCCTGGACCCAGCAGCTTAAAACACACGGGACACATGTGTGTACGTGCCCAAAATCATGAGAGAAAAATGGAGAAGATGGGATTGTGGCATGGCCATTTCTCCTTTGGGGTGATTTCTCACTTTCTGTCTCTCTGTTTCTGGCAAGCACACATGATTCAAAGCAAAAATCTCTTGAAAGAAAGAAAGAAAGAAAGAAAGAAAGAAAGAAAGAAAGAAAGAAAGAAAGAAAGAAAGAAAGAAAGAAAGAAAGAAAAGAAAGAAAGCAAGTTGCCAGGTCCAGGACTCAAACCACGGTTGGCCATGTGGGAATCCAGTGCCTTTAACCACCCTGCCACCTGCTGGTCCCCAGAAGCCTGGTAGGTTTAGAGGGAGAGGGAGTGACACAGAGATACACTCTGCTCTGTCTTGCCATGTGATCCACCAGCAAGAAGATCCAAGCCAGACGCAGCCCCTGGAAATTGGGCCTCTGAACTGTGAATCAAATAAACCTCTATTACTTATCTATTACTTTGTTTTTGCTATTGAGCATGCATGTCCATTGAGGGAGAGAAGGAGGGAGAAATCACTTCCCAGGGGGGATGACCATGCCGCATCCTGTCTCCTTCATTCTCCTCTCAGGATTTTGGACACACACATACATGTGCCCAGTGTGTTTTTCAAGTTGCCCAGTCTGGGACTTGAACCATGTGGTCCCCCCTATGGGATCCAGCCACCTTAATCTCCATGCCATCTGCTGGCTCACTTTCTTATAAATCACCCAGTTTCAGGTAGGTCCTGTTATTAGCAACACAATACCATAGACTAGAACAGCATAGAAATGCCCACACCCAAGAATGGGGTCCCTCAGACTCAGAGGCCAGAGAACTGCTCTACACGGCAGCCTGCCTGGAGCTCTGGAAGAGGGGAGAGGCCAGGGCTAGCCAGATGGCACAGCAGTTCAGACAGCTGGATCTGGACTCCCATGTAGTTGGCCGTGGTTGGAGTCCCAGACCCGGTGGCTTAAATTCACACCGGGGACATGTTCGTGCCCAAGATCCCGAGAGGAGACTGGAGGAGAAGGGATTGCAGCATGGCCACCCCTCTGGGGGTGGGGGTGGTGGGGATTTCTCGCTTTCTGTCTTTCTGTCTCTCTGTCTCTGTCTTCCTTGCAAGTGCACACGCCCTATAGCAAAAACCTCTCAAAACAAAACAAAACTAAAAAACCCGATAGCTGGATCTACATGGCCAACTCCTTGTTTCCAGTCCTGGACCCAGCGACTTGCAAAACATGCTAGGTGCATGTACATGCATGCCCAAAATCCTGAGAGGAGAATGGAGGAGAAGGGGTTATGGTGTGGCCATCCTTGCTGTGGAGTGATTTCTCTCTCTCTCTCTGATGAGCACACACACCCCATAGCAAAACTAAAAACAAAACAAAACAACGTAAGAGGCAAGGCCAGAAGGACATGTCAGAAGCCTCTGAACATTTTCTGTAGAGTCCAGCAGGAGAAGGAGGTATCTTGAGTCCTGATGCCTGGAAATGCAGTGTTCTCGTCTCTGTCCCAGGCTTCCCCTCCAGCTGCCCCTCAACACACACACACTAAAGAATCTTTGTCGAGTATGGATGCCACAGCCCTCCCCGATTCAAAACCCGTGCTACCTGTGGACTCCAGAGCGAGTCCAGATACCCAGACATGGCTCCCGCAGCCCCCTGGTGGCCCTGTCTGCCTCTCCTGCTTCACCAGCTGATCATCAGGTTATGACCCCACTGGAGTCTCACCTCCACCGGACCCTGACCCCCACCACCCTGCACCTGCATCATCTCCACCAGGGCCACCAAGTCAGCCAGGGAGATGTGGTCCCCAGTGATGAACAGCTTGTCCCGCAGAAACTTCTCCTCAAAGAGCAGCAGGTTGTTCTTTGCCTCTTCCAGCATCTGCTCGGTCTTCTCGGCTGGAACCTCCTCACCCGTGATCATTGGGATCAGCAACTGGCCGGGGTTGGGGAGAGGAGGGAAGATAAGGCTGCACCCCCGTCCCATCCACCCCTCCAGGCCTCTGCATCTCTGCAAGATAGACATCAGACAGGATCAAGGATATCACATTGTTCACCTCTTTTAGCAGTTCTGATTGGCTGAAGTTGCCTGAGGCCATGTGTTCAAGCTCCAGTAGGAAAGAATCTGTGATTGATTAGTGATGTCTGTCACAGGCATAGGGTTAAAAGTATAGGCAGAGTTACCGGTTATTTGTCATCCTGAAATTTGCTGATCTCTGTTGTCCTTTGACTAATATTCTCTAGTTCAGAATGAAATTTCCTTTTCTTTTTTTTTGGAGAGGTTTTGTTTCCTTTTTTTTTTTTGCTATAGGGTGTGTACACTCGCCAGAAGGACAGGGAGAGACAGAGAGACAATCTCTTCTCCTCCATTCCCCTGTTGGGATCTTGGGCATGCACACACATACGCCCAGCGTGAGTTTAAGCCACCAGGTCTGAGACTCAAACCATGGTCAACTACATGGGAGTCCAGCGACATAGCCATTACGCCAACTGCTGGTCCCCAGAATAAAATCTCTTGACTCCTCTCCTGGCCTGAGTAATATCGTCCCCTCCTGGGTGCCCTCCCGGGACTCTTTCATACCCAGTTTACTCCACACTCTAGTGTGCCCCCCTAGAAGTTCATGTATTGGAACTTGGTTGCATTTGGACGTACTAAGAGGAAACACAATACAGTTACGGGGCTGAGAAGCGGAGCCTTTGGGAAGTGCTCAGACTCGAGGGGGAGGGGGCATGATTGAAGCCTCTGGGCTTGTAAGGAGAGGGAAAGAGGCACACTCTGCTGGCCTTGCTGTGTAACCCACCAGCAGGCAGCGGGCAGCTGCAGTCAGAAGGCTGAGGGAGGGGAGGAAACATACTTGAACACGCCAGCGGCCAGCAGGGCCAGGACTGGGCTCAGGCTCCCCGACGCCCTCGCACGTCCTAGACCAAGGTCCCGCTCACCTTGATCCAGAGAATCTTGCTCATGGGCAGCTGAATGGCCGTGTGCTGCCAGGCCATGAACTCATCCACGCGGGCGCGGGTGTGCAGGTCTGGCGGGTACCAGTGCGAGGGGGCGCTGTACTTGCGGCACAGGTAGAAGAGGATGGCCACGCTGCAGAGAGGGCCGGTCAGGGGCACTGTCCTTGCTGTGCCGAATGCCCCCACACTGACCACCCACAGCGCCCTGAGCCCAACCCCTGGGGCTCCCACTGGAGGCTGGCTGCAGGCACTGGTGTTCTTCCAGGGGCTGGCAGGGGAAGGAGGAGCACAAGAGGTCCTAGGAAAAGCATCCCCCAAAGCCATCAGTCAGTCAGGGAGACCTGAGGATACCAGGTGTTGGAGGATGGCTTCAGAAAGGGCAGTCCATGGGACGGCAGGTGGCGTAGTGGTTAAGGCACTGGACTCCCATGTGGCCGACCAAAGTTCAAGTTCTGGGCTTGGTGGCTTGCTTTCTCACTTTCTCTCCCTCTCTCTCTCTCACGCTGTGGTCAAATTGAAAAAAAAAAAATGATGATGAGTGAAATGAAATAAAATAATTCTTAAAAGAAAGAAAGAAAGAAAGAAAGGGCAATCCTGGGCCGGTGGGTACAAAATCTTTAGAAGAAAATAGAGAAGGGATTGAGGCATGGCCATCCTCCCTGGGAGTAATCTCTCACTCTCTCTCTGTCTCTCTGTCTCTCTCTCATGAATGCATGTGCCCTATAACAAAACCTAAAAAAAAAAAAGAAAAGGAAGGGCAGTCCAGAGAAGGCGAACATTGTGTGTTAAAATAAAAACACCAGGGTAAGGGGGAGCGAGGTGACTTTGGAGAAAGGAGAGCAGGTGAGTCTGACTAGAGGAAAGAGGGGTGGGGGCAGCAGGTGTGGGGGTGTTGTGGAGGCCTCATAGGGAGCCCACTGGAGGTACAGGGAGGCATATAGACTTAGTCCTTCAAATCAGGTTAGGTGGGGACTGGCAGGTGGCGTAGTGGTTAAGGGTGTTTTATTCTGACATGGCCGACTGCAGTTCAAGTCCTGAACCTGGTGGCTTGCTCTCTCTCTCTCTTTCTGGTCAAATTAAAATTAATTAATTAATTAATTAAATGAATAAAGTTAAATAAAATAATGATGTTTTTTAAAAAATCAGGCTGGCAAGTGGCGTGGTGGTTCCAGCGGCTGGACTCCGACATGGCTGACTGTGGTTCGAGTCCCAGACCTGGCCGCTTACTTTCTCACTTCCCCTCTTTCTCTGTCTCTCTCTGGTCAACTTTAAAAAAAAAAAAAAAAAAGACAATGAATAAATTAAAAAAAAAAAATCAGGTTAAGTGAAAACAGGTGAGGGGGCCACATAGCGGCACAGCCATAAAACATAAGGTTCGATGAGGCTGACTCACATGGGAAGGTTCTGGTTCCCATCCAGAGACCTTCCTGACAGCCCCGCGCTGCTGATGCCTGTGGCCTGGGGCTGGCTGAGGCTGGGCATAGACCATGGCGTCCAGAGACTGTGGGGCTCGCTCGCTCTGTCTCTGTCTCTCTCTTCATGGAAGTAATCAATAAATAAACTTTAATAAAAAAAATTAAAAAAAAAATGGATCTGGGACTGACCCGTTAGCCATGTGGAGAAGGGTGCCAAATTCCACGAGGCCAATTGTGGTTCGAATCCCAGCCCCAGCAGCTGGAAAAACATGCCAGGCCCGTGTGCATGCATCATGCCCTGACTCCCACCAGGATGGAGAGACGGAGGGGAAGGAGCTGTGGTGACACTGTCCCACTGAGGGGTGGTCTCTCCTTCTCCCTCTCCATCCAGCTCTTCCTCTCCCTCCCTCTCCCTGTCTCTGGGGACTGCACGTGCTCTCTGGCAGTTGAAAGGAAGAAAGGAAAGAAGGAAGGGAGGGAGGAAGGGAGGAGGAAGGAGGAGACTCTAACAGAAATTTTTAAAATAAAATAAAACTATGCGTTATGTAAGCCAGAGGAAGAGAAGATCCATCCCCTGGTGCTGGATAGAGGGTGAATCAGTGGGGTCGGATCTATCATAGGGAGCCCAAGATGGCTGCTCCCAAGATACTCAAGCAAGGTGTTCTGGTGCCTGGGAGGGCAGAGGTTACAGGGACGTAGGGGCGGGACAGACTGGGTAAGGCTTCGGTGCTGATGGACAGCGGGGGTGGCAAACTCCATAGGACAACAACAACAATGCAAAAGGAAAAGGTGGTGGAATGCAGAGCGACAACCGATGGCATGGAGGTTGAGGCGGCTGGATCCCACATGGCCGACTGTGCAGTTCGAGTCCTGGACCCAGCAGCTTGAGGAATACACCACACATGTGTGCATGTGTGTGTGCGTGCCCAAAATCCCAAGAAGAGAATGGAGGTAAAGGGACTATGGTGTGGTCATCTCCCCTGGGGAGCTTTCTCACTTTCCCTCTCTCTCTCTGTGTTTCTGTCTCTGGTGAGTGCACACACCATATTAACAAACAAACAAAAAAACCGTGGAGACCAGCAGTTAGCGTAATGGCTGTGTCACTGGACTCCCATGAAGTCAAACACGGTTTGAGTCCCAGACCTGGTGGCTTAAACTCATGCCGGGTGCATGTGTGTGCGTGCCCAAGATCCCGAGAGGAGAATGGAGGACAAGTGATTGCAGCATGGCCATCCCTCTGGGGGGTGATTTCTCGTTTTCTGTCTCTGTCTGTCTGTCTGGCGAGAGGTGGTGGCATGAAGGGGACTATAGATGAAAAGACGTATAAGACATGCAACAACTAGCTACAATATTCACACATTCTTTGGACTCTGATTCAAAAAACTGCCTAGAAAATATTTATGAGGGAATCAGCAGTTAGCATAATGGCTATATCGCTGGACTCCCATGTAGTCGACCGTGGTTCACGTCCCGGACCCGGTGGCTTAAACTCACGCCGGGCATGTGTACATGCGTGCCCAAGATCCTGAGAGGAGAATGTAGGAGAAGGGATTGCAGCGTGGCCATCCCCCCTGGGGGGTGATTTCTCGCTTTCTGTCTCTATGTCTCTCTCTGTCTGGCGAGCGCACGCGCACTATAGCAAAAAACCTCTCCAAAAAAAAATATTTATGAGGGGTTTAGCAGGTGGTATTGTAGTTAAGGTGCTAGACTCCTCCATGGCCGACCACAGTTCAAGTCCCAGACCTGGTGGTTTGAAAATCACTCCATGCATGTGTGCGTGCAGGCCCAAAATCCCAGAAGGAGAATGGCAGAGAAGGGATTGCAGTGTGGCCATCCCCCCTGGGGGAGTGATTTCTCACTTTCTCTGTCTCTTTATCTCTCTGACAAGTGCACATACCCTACAGCAAGTCTCTCAAGAAAAGAAGAGAAAAGAGAAAAAGGGAAGAAAATATTTATGAGAGGGACTTTTTTAAAGAAAAGAATCAGTTATTTATTTCATTTTATTTCGTATTTTTATTTTTTAATTTGGCCAAAGAGATACAGAGAGTCAAAAAGGGAAAGTGAGAAAACAAACTGCCAGGTCCACGACTTGAACCGTGGTCGGTCATGTGGGGAAGTCCAGCACCCTAACCACCGTGGCACCTGCCAGCCCCAAGATAGAGACTTTTGAATAGAAAGCAAATATTTGATTAAATCTAGAAATTATTGTTCAATAGGTGTCAATAGTATTATGGTGGAGCTTTAAAAAAATATTTATTTATTTGATTCCATTTATTATTATTTTTTAATTTGACCAGAGAGAGAGAGAGAGAGAGAAAGGGAAAGTAAGAAAGCAAGCTGCCAGGTCTGGGATTTGAACCATGGTCGACCATGTGGGAGTCCAGCACCCTGAATCACCATGCCATCTGCCAACCCCTGGTGGTGCTTTTTTAAACAGAGTCCTTCTCTCTCTCTCTCTCTTTTTTTTTGGAGAGGTTTTTGCTACAGGGCGCGTGTGCTCACCCGACAGACAGAGACAGAGAGACAGAAAGCGAGAAATCACCCCCCAGGGGGGATGGCCACGCCGCAATCCCTTCTCCTCCATTCCCCTCTCGGGATCTTGGGCATGCATGCACACACGCCCGGCGTGAGTTTAAGCCACCGGGTCCGGGACTCGAACTGCGGTTGACTACATGGGAGTCCAGCGACATAGCCATTATGCTAACTGCTGCTCCCCAGAGTCCTTCTCTCTTAGCAGCACATTCCTAAGCATTTATGGATAAAAGAATGGGGCGTTTGGAAGGCAAGGGGATGGAGTGGGGTACAGATGATGCCGAATGAGCCCTGAGCCCACATGGGGCCAGTCATACTCTTCATTAGTTAGTAATCGTTCTACTTTAGTGTATGTGTGAAATTCTCCATGGGGAAACAAAACGAAACAAAACATGCCAGCAGGCCAGCTCCCACTGAGTCTCCCGGAGGAGCAGAGACAGAGCAGAAAGACCCAGAGGAAGATTGTTACCTTTCGGATAATATAAACTTTCCATCTTTGAGAGCAGGAAGCTTCCTTAGGGGGTTGATCTCGACGTATTCCTTGCTGTGGTGGTGACCTGAGAGGGCAGGGACCGTCTGAGGCTGCTGGGACCCCAGAGTTAGAAGACCGGGCCTGCCAGAGACAGAAAAGCCTTCCTCTCTATTTTCTCTGGAAGGGGAAACAGGGGCCAGCAGGTGGCATAGTGGTTAAGGTGCTGGAATCCTACGTCATCTACTGTGGTTTGAATCTCAGACCTGGCAGCTTAAAACTCATGCCAGGTGTGTGTGCATGCGTGCCCAAAATCCCAAGAGGAGGGAACCAGCAGTTAGCATAATGGCTATGTTGCTGGACTCCCACGTAGTCGACCGTGGTTAGTGTCCCAGACTCAGTGGCTTAAAACTCACGCCGGGCGCATGTGCATGCGTGCCCAAGATCCCGAGAGGAGAATGGAGGAGAAGGGATTGCAGCGTGGCCATCCCCCCTGGGGGGTGATTTCTCGCTTTCTGTCTCTATGTCTCTCTCTGTCTGTCTGGCGAGCGCATGCGCCCTATAGTGAAAACCTCTCCCCCCTCAAAAAAAAAAAAAAATCCCAAGAGGAGAATGGAGGAGAAGGGATTGCAGCATGGCCCTCCCCCTGGGGGTGATTTATTTCTTGCATTCTGTCTCTCTGATTCTGTCGCTCTGGTGAGTGCACATGCCCAGTAGCAAAAATCTCTAAAAAAAATAAAAGAAGAAGGGGAATTAGATTTCAGGGTCACCACGGCTCACTCTGGTCACAGGATAAGTCAGTGGCAGAACAGGGACCAGGATCCAGATTCTTGATTCTTACCTCTCAGCCTGCCCCAACCCCAGGCTTAGCAACCCCCATGGCTTCCTGCCTGTGCCCTGGACAATCCTTTGGCTCAAAGAAGTGGAGACCTCCAGCCTCCAACTCCAGTGCTGGGCCTGAAGCCATAGCCTGTTAATCAACCAAAGCCCTAAGGGCCTGAGTCCCACCCCTGTGCCTATCCTCACTCCATCCTCCCCTTTAAGGAAAGCACAGCAGCTGTGGTAATAACACCGGAAGCACATGCTCACCATACAGCTGGAAGACCAAAGGGATGTGAGAATAGGAGCTGAACTCTTGCTTGCTGCTTCTGCTCAGAAGCATTTCTGGGGGCTCCACTCACACTCCATTCACTTCTACAACTGTAGTGTCTCCTATGTTCTAAAGGTCCCTGCCTCTGCAAGCTGAGCTTTTAAGGCCTCATTCTATGCTCAAGACAAGGTTGAAGCCTGATCCCCTGAACTTCACACAGGGCTCTGTGTAATCCTGAGTAGGTTTGAACACGAGAGGAAGTTGAGAGTGGACTGAGCAGTATCTGGACTCTCAGATGTGGGATGACCATGCACTTCAACTTTTGCCAACCTGGCCAGCAGGGGCTGCAAATAACAAGATGCCAGATAAACACAAGGAAAAGACCAAGGCAGTGGATGGGGCCCAAGGATTCTCCTTTACCCTAGAAGAGCCTGTTCTTCTTGGTGTGGGACTGTCATTAGTGGGACTTGGCTAAAAGGAGCTAGACAGGCCCCTTTTCTTTCCCTGCAGACCTTTGTGTATGTGTTGGGGGGCTTGTCTTGGTCTCTGTATTCACTTTTCAGAAGTAGCCTTATCTTCCTCCCTACCCAGGACCAGGCCTGCTGGGTAAGAGTGAGTGCTGACCATGGGGCCAGGAGATAGCCTACCAGTTACATTGCCGGGCTTCCACATGGCCAATTGCGATTTGAGTCCCAGATCTAGTGACTTGAAAATCACACCGGCAGGTGCATGTGTGTGACCAAGATCCCAGGAGGAGAATGGAAGAGAAGGGATTGAGGTGTGGCCATCCCCTCAAGGGGTGATTCTTCACTTTCCCTCTCACTATCTCTGTCTTGCTCTCTCTCCGGCGACTGCATGCATACTACGGCAAAAACCTCTAAAAAAAAAAAAAAAAAAAAGAGTGGGTGCTGACCTTTGAGCAGATCCACAAACTGAAAGTCAAAGGGGATGTTGTTCTTCCTGGCGAAGATGTAGACAGCGCGGCAGGGCGCCGACAGCAGGTCCAGGTAGAGCTCCAGGACCATGCTGAGACAGGTGCTGGGCCCTTAGCTGTGGTGGGCCAGCCCCTGTGTCTAGCCTGAGCCCCTGGGCCGCCAGTGTCCTCCAGCAGGGGCCGGAGTCCCCACATTCTGGAACTTGCTTCTCTTGGTGTTGTCATGAAGCCAGGAAGCACGGAATTCCCACAGCAGCAAAGGTTCTGAGCATGCCCAGGAGAAGGCTGGGAGAGGCTTCTGGCCAAGTGCTAGGGGCCGCGAGCCTACTCTCCTGTGTATTCCTGCGCTTCGGGGTACCATCTCACAGCCACCCCACAGGAGAAGGGCTCATCCGTGGGGATTCCCAGGGCCGAACTTTCCTGGTAGAACATGAACAAACAGGCCAGGGAAAGTCGAGCATGAAAATGAGGTGATGAGAATGAATCCTGGTTAGTTCCAGAAGCGAGGACTGGGGTTGTCCATGGGTAAAATCTAGCCTGAATGATGGCTAGGAAAGGATTAGAAGAAAGTGAAACAGGGGGACCAGCAGTTGGCATAATGGCTATGTCACTGGACTCCCATAGACTTCCCTGGACTTCCATGACCGCAGTTCAAGTCCCGGATCTGGTGGCTTAAACTCACACCGGGTGCGTGTGCATGCATGCCCAAGATCCCGAGAGGAGAATGGAGGAGAAGGGAAATCACCCCCTGGGGGTGATTTCTCACTTTCTGTCTCCCTGTCTCTGTCGTCCTGGCAAGTGCATGCACCCTATAGCAAAAACTTCTCAATAAAAAAAAAAAAAAAAAGAAGTGATACAGGAGCCTGAAAGCTCTCAGGAACACTGCTGACAATAGCACCAGGGAGTCAGGGGGCAGCTGGTCAGTCTGCCACACAGAGGAGCCCAGAAACTTCTTGGGCTGGGTTAGGACCATGGTGGCTAAACCATGTATGTTTCTGGTGGCTGAGAAAGGTAAGCAGAGACCCATGAGATGGCCAAGTGCCTCCCTGTCTGTGCTGAGAAGACCCCTGACTTCCTAGACCTTGACTCAGAAATGGGGCGGACCCACTTCCTAGGGACAGACAAGGCTGGAGACGCAAGGAGAGTACGAGGCGTGTTTATTGCAGGTGGTCAACTGCAGGGGAGCGTGCTGCCTCTATTCAGCGGAGCCGCTCCTGCAGCTTCTGCACCAGTTTCTGGGCCAGCTGGGGATCCCGCTGGGCCTCACGGGGGTCACGAGGCTGCAGAACCAGCTTATGGGCCTCCTGGACGAGCTCAGCACCCAGGGCGTCCTCCACGCGGGCCCGCCATGCTACCAGCCGGGGCCAGTCTTGGAAGACGTCGCAGCCGACGGCGGTGGGCTGAGGGGACAGAGTAGCTGCAGTGGCCCGTGCCCAGAGTCCCCCCTAGAAGGCAGGCAGGAGGGAGAGCCTCACTTACCTGCATCAGCTCCGTGAGCGCCATCAAGTCCGCCAGGGAGACCTGCTCGGTTGCCAGGAAGGGCCTGGACGCCAGGACTTCCTCATCCAGGTGTCGCAAGGCTGGTGCCAGCCTCTCCATCAGCCGCTGGAGATTGGCACCATCCACAGGCTGCCCGGAGAAGTAGGGCAGGAGAGACTGGGCCGGGAGGAGAGAGGCAGCTTATCCTGGGTCCTTCTGAGCCTCCTCTGCCTCCTGCCCACCCCTCTCGTCTGCCAGCCATGAGCGCTGCCTGTGGGCCTCTGAACTCAGGAGGGTTCGGACGTACGAGTGGTACGTCCAGTTCTGGGGTTCCCGCCCCTGCCAAGCCTGCACGAAAGGGCGGAGGAGGCTCACCTTGCACAGGTAGACGTTGGTGGCAGGCAGCTGGATGGCGACATGCTGCCACGCCAGGTATTCGTCCACGCGGGCGCGGGCCTGCAGCCCGGGTGGGTACCAGTGTTCCGCCGTCTGGTACTTGCGGCTCAGGTATAGGAGGATGGCCACGCTGCGGGCGGGGGGTGTCAGAGATCTCCCTCCTGCTCCAGGGCTGGTGGCTTTCTCACTCATATCCAGGGAGGTGTGACCAGGTCTCTCCCAATGCCACCTCCAGGGTATTCCCCCCACCCCTGCATGAGGGAGGCAGACCTGCCACGTGGGCCCTGCCCAGGGGGGGGGGTCTCTAAGTTCCCTTCCTCCTGTCCCAGGGCCTGGGGGAGGTGCTCAGAGATTTCCAGCACTTTCCGTCCTCAGGCAAGCCTTGAGAGGTGGTTTTGGTATCATTCCCATTTCGCAGGGCACAGAGCGAGGAGGTGGGAGATGGAATTCAAAGTAGTGGCCAGCAGGTGGCATGGTAGTTAAGGCACTCAACTCTCACATGGCTAACAGCGGTTTGAATCCCAGACCTGGCAGCTTGCTTTCTCAGTTTTTCTCTCTGTCTCTCTCTGGTCAAATTAAAATAATAATAATAACAATAAATTAAATAAATAATTCCTTTATTTTAAAGAGAGAGATATTTTTGTTTTAGGGTGTGTACACCCACCAGAGAGACAGACAGAGATAGGGAGACAGAAAACGAGAAATCACACCCCCCAGGTGGGATGGCCATGCCGCAATCCCTTCTCCTTCATTCTCCTCTCTCACACGTGCCTGTGTGAGTTTTAAGCAGCCGGGTCCAGGACTTGAACCACGGTCAACTATATGGGAGTCCAGCAACGTAACCATTACACCATCTGCTGGCCCCTAAGTAAATAATTCTTTAAAAATAAGAAAATGGGGACCAGTAGTTGGCCTAACGACTGTGTCGCTGGACAACAAATCCTGGTTGGTTCCAGAAGCGGGGACTGGGGTTGCCCATAGGCAAAATCTAGCCTGAATGATGACTAGGAAAGGATTAGAAGAAAGTGATACAGGGGGACCAGCAGTTGGCGTAATGGCTATGTCACTGGACTCCCATGTAGTTGACCGCGATTCAAGTCCCGGACCTGGTAGCTTAAGTTCATGCCAGGCGTGTGTCTGTGCATGCCCAAGATCCCGAGAGGAGAATGAAGGAGAAGGGATTGTGGCATGGCCCTCCCCCCTGGGGGGTGATTTCTCACTTTCTGTCTCTCTGTCTCTCGCTGTCTTTCTGGTAAGCGCACATGCCCTATAGCAAAAACTTCTCAAAAAAAAAAAAAAAAATCCAAAGGACGAGGCCAGCAGGTAGCATGGTGGTTAGGGCACAGGACACTCCCACATGGCCGACCATGGTTCGAGCCCCAGACCTGGTGCCTTGCTTTCTCACTATCCCTTTCTCTGGTCAGATTAAAATAAATTAATGGGGACCAGCAGTTGGCGTAATGGCTATGTTGCTGGACTCCCATGTAGTTGACCACGGTTCAAGTCCCAGACCCGGTGGCTTAAACTCACACCAGGCACGTGTGCGTGCATGCCCAAGATCCCACTAATTTTTTTTTTAAAGTAGAGACAGTGACAAGCCCCCATGAAGAAGTTCCCAGTTCAACTCCAAAAACCTTCCTGAGAACACCAGACGTGCACATGCTCCTGATGGGAACGTGGGGAGAGGCAGGCTGGAGGCTAGGGGTGAGACACGAGGTCAGGATCCTGCGGAGGGGGCTGCCTCTCTGTTTCTCTGTGTCTTTCTTGCTTATGCAAAGAAGAATGACACTTTAAAAAAAAAAAAGGAAAAGAAAATGGGGCCAGCAGGTGGCATGGTGATAAAGACACACTGGACTCTCACACGGTCAACCACGGTTCAAGTCCCAGACCTGGCGGCTTGCTTTCTCACGTTCCCTTTCTCTCTCTCTGGTCAAATAAAAATAATAATAATAACAAATATAAATAAATAATTCTTCAAAAAAAGAAAAAAGTGGAACGTGATCCTGGGTCTGCGTGGCTCCTGGGAACTGGAAGGACAGGTTGGGATAAGCTAAGCTCAAGTCCAACCCGTTGGTCTAGGTTGTCCAGGCCTGGCTGAATGACCTCTGGCCCTCCCTCCGTCACCCTCCCAGCTTCAGCGCTGTCTCCTGGGTCTTGCCTCTGCGCTGGGCCGACTGTAAGGCGATACACGGCTGCAGCAGTTTGCAGGGCTCTCCCAGCCAGGGGTGGTCCAGCTCTCTCTCCCCCCAGCCTCCCAGGCCCCACTCCCTAAACATGGAGCCCCAGCACCCAGACTGGGCCTGGCTCTGGCCCTGGGTACTAGGTACTAGGTACTAGGTCTCCATACCTCTCAGCCAGCAGGAAGTCACCGTCCCTAAGGGCAGGCACCTTTCCCAGGCGATTCACCTGCAAAAACTCCGGCCTCAAATGCTCCCCTGGGGAGGTGCGGGAAAGAGGGGGGGATCAACAGAGGCGCCCTCAGCCCCCTTCCCGAGGGGACCGACCGAGAGGACCGCCCCGCTGCCAGCCCAGCTCACCCCGTGCCAGCTCCCCCTGCCGCAGCTCAAAGGGGATGCCATTCTTCTTGGCGAAAATGTAGATGGCTCGGCAGGGGGGCGATCGCAGGTCCAGGAACAGCTCCAGCCCCATGGCTGCACCTCTATCAGCTGCTTTCACAGGGGGCCTCCACTCAGACCGGCCTCAGAGGGTTGCTTGGCCTCTCTGGCCAGGCGCCCTTCCCCTAAAATGGAACCAGTGCTCAGCACCCCTTCCTGAAGCTGGCTTCCTCTATTGCTGGCAGGGCAGTCTGCCAAGCCACCAGCCCTCCCTGCCCCAGTGGAGAGGAGGCGGAGGTCAGTTGTGTCGTTTGAGGGTTGGTCACTAGCCTTCCAAAAACAGGGTTCCCAGTTTGCCCGTCCCTGGACACGCCCCCACCCCAAACACTTGTACTTTCTCCAGTTTCAAGCCCATGTGATTGCAGGTTAGCAGGCGGGCTGGCAGGGGGCACAGGCAGATTTTTTTCTTTTAGAATGAGAGATTTGTGTGTGCACCTTATTAGAGACTGGGGTTGGGGCTACAGGAACTCTCGCGTGTAGGTAGTGTGTTACACACGGGACAAGTTTCTCACTAACACCACAAGGGTCTCTGGCACAAGGAGTGGAGGTTGATAGTAATCTTTGCTACAAGTAAAAACAGAAAAAAAAATAGAAAAGAGAGAGAGAGATTTTTGCTATAGGGCGCACGTGCTCGACGGAGAGACAGAGAGAGACAGAAAGCAAGAAATAAACCCCCCGAGGGGGCAGGCCACACAGCACGGCAATCCCTTCTCCTTCATTCTCCTCTAGGGTTTTGTTTTGTTTTTTGTTTTTTTGTGTGTTTTTTTGAGAGGTTTTTGCTATTGGGTGCATACGCTTGCCAGAAAGACAGAGAGAGACAGAGAGACAGAAAGCGAGAAATCACCCCCCAGAGGGGATGGTCACGTCGCAATCTCTTCTCCTCCATTCTCCTCTCAGGATCTTGGGCATGCATGCCCAAGATCCTGAGAGGAGAATGGAGGAGAAGGGATTGCCGTGCTGTGTGGCCTGCCCCCTCGGGGGGGTTATTTCTTGCTTTCTGTCTCTCTCTGTCTTTCTGGCAAGCGCATGCACCCAATAGCAAAACCCTCTCAAAAAAACACACACAAAAAAAAAAACAAAACAAAACCCTAGAGGAGAATGAAGGAGAAGGGATTGCCGTGCTGTGTGGCCTGCCCCCTCGGGGGGGTTATTTCTTGCTTTCTGTCTCTCTCTGTCTTTCTGGCAAGCGCATGCACCCAATAGCAAAACCCTCTCAAAAAAACACACACAAAAAAAAAAACAAAACAAAACCCTAGAGGAGAATGAAGGAGAAGGGATTGCCGTGCTGTGTGGCCTGCCCCCTCGGGGGGGTTATTTCTTGCTTTCTGTCTCTCTCTGTGCCTCTCTCTGGTCAAATTAAAAATGAAAGCATGAATAAATAAAATAAATAATTCTAAAAAAAAGGAAGGGGGAGGCTCTTAAATTATCAACAGGAATAAACAGGCCTGTTTATTGAAGCAGCTCTGACTTTCCTCCTAGTAGTAAGATGGGTTAGACCAGCCTCGCACAGCATGGAGGCCTGCAGCTTGGAGACGATGGAGCCTCTTTTTTTCATCTTTTTTTTCCTTCCTTTCTTATGGGAGAGGTTTTTGCTAGAGGCTGCATGTGCTCGCCAGAAAGACAGAGAGACAGAAAGCGAGAGAGCAGGCCCTGGGGGGATGGCCATGCAGCAATCCCT